GCCAATTGTTGGACCTAATTATCATGCCATGCCAAACCCCCAAAGTACTTTGAGCATACATAATATTACATTTTAAATAAGTAATTAACTCAATAATAGTCATATTAACGTTAATATTGATAATAATGTTAATAGTACTAATAACAAAATAATAATTTTTGTAATAGTAGTAATATCTTCAATAATTATAATAATAATAGTAATAATAATAATAATAATAATAATAATAATAATAATAATAAATAGTAGTAATAATAGTAATAAATAAAAAATATAGCATTAGATTATTAATGACTAGGGAGCGCCAAAAAATTAATTAAAAGAAAGCTAGGACAAAATTGGGTATCAACAACTATTCTGCCATTAGTGAACCCCAATCCTTACTATAGTTTCCTGGTTTACTACCATCGTGCCTGCTAGTGCTAAGTTTGTTCGAGTTTGATGCCTAAGGAAGTCATTGATGTGAATAATTGAACCTACTGTATGTGATCAATCTTCATTAAGTACATGCTTACTCGTTAGTTGTGGTGCTGGGTTTGTGATACTTTTGATCCCTGAGTTTCTTTAATAAGTTTCCTTAGTAACACTTCTACTTGCCCTGAATTGGCCTACGATTCTTAGTTGTGTCCTGCCTTGCATTCTTGTATTTTTCTTGGGAAGACAGTTGGGGTATCTGTCCCAAGGGGTGTCTTTTGAGCATGTTATTGTCACTTGTCAATCTTCCTAGAAGAAATTCATGTCCCTGCTTGCCTTGAACTCTCATGCTTAGATCCTTTTCTTTATGGATTCATGTTGGCCATATTCCTGTAACTAATCAAGTGTATCTTAAAGAGTTTGTTATTTTGAACTTGTTTGATAATTTGAAACCCCCATACACGTGCTCATTCTATGTGATTATGAAGTCCCTGTGCATGTGAGTTCTTCTACTTTCTAGGCATTACCCTTAGTATGACACTTAGAGAATCTTTCTGCTGATGATTGTGATAACTGGAACCCCTGTGCATGTGCCCTTGCCTAACTATGAGTCACCTGAATGACATGTTTAAATTTATGTGCCCGTGTTCATGTTGTTTGTTAATAGGTAAGCAAGACAATTGTCTTCATGTTTGGGGCCTGGATTATTGGGCCATGTGTGTGTTATAGGATCTGAGCATTGGTCAGACATGTTTGTGAACCTGGGTGTTGGGCCTGTTGGATTTGCAAGAGTAAGGCTGGTGAAGGCCCAGAAGGCACTGCTGGTTTATTTTGTACTAGCGCTGGACCTGTAATTATTATATTTGGACCTGTAATTACCCATTAAGTCTGTAATGGTTTTATTATTCTATTTTTGGGCCTATAATAATCTGTAACAACGAATGATGGGAAAATTAGTGGAAAAGGGGCTGGGATACTTTATGTTTCGCATGAATGAGTAGATAACATGCTTATAGGGTCTACATGCTCATTTGCTACTTTGTTTGACGTGCCTATTTCTATACACTAATATAAATTATGCCTATAGGAATTCAAACACTTCACCTACTCAACTTGTCTAATATCCGCACATTATCAGGGGCATGAGTTTAAGTGCTTTACTTATTCATGTGTCTACTTCTATGCGATATTAGATAGCATGCCTATAGGTATCAAACGTCAATAACTATTCACTCAATTTGTGCAATTGCAATGTGATTATTAGATAGCACACCTATAGGATCGTATTAATATATGCCTTTGCTAATACTCATCTAGATACCATGTGTATTGGGCTTTAATTGTTTAACTAATCGAGTGTTTCTGTTGTCTTGTTACACTGCCCTCCTAGATAACATGCCTATAGGAATAAGCATGCCCTCATATTATTTAGCGGACACAGACTATCATCTCCCGCTACCCAATTACTATATTAAAGTTGTTTACCTAAAGCACTCTAGTTCAATTCTAAACTGTGTCCTATGCGTGCACTACCCGTCCCATATCTATAGTCTAGGAGGTTTTGCACCTATTATTTGGATGGTTCTAGATTTCACTTAGGGTGCTCAAAATGATAAAATTAGGTGCACATTCAAAACAAGTAGGTCTGCAAATAAAAATAAAAAATGGCTCAAGTTAGCCTCCACATATAAGCAACAAAGAACGCAGACAGATTTCATATTATGCAGTAAGCATTTTCAGAATCAAGGTGTATTGAAATTGTTTAAAACGTATAGGCATGACTTCTAAGCGACCGCACAGTTTAAGAATATCTCATGGGCGGTACTGCTATTCAGATTATCGAGATTACAGATTACAAGTTATAAAAACCTATAGACACGATCTCTAAGTGATTTGCGCAATGGGGCAGTAAAAGCAATTGGAAAACTTGTAATTACTCGTGTTTGATCCTATTGGCATGCTTTCTAAGCTAGTAGCAGTATTTTATAGGCGGGTTCTCTAATAGTTGATATTTAAACGCAGAATATGAGCAACCCCTACTCTAAGGGAGTTGCGAAGTATTATTTATGTTGCACGAGGTGATCCATTAAGCTAAAAAAACTTAGGACCCCCTTTTATATGTTTGTTTCTCACGCCTTTGTTTCTTTAAACTTAAGGCAATTGAGTTGGACCTTGTAAACTCCAAAGACTTGTACCGGTCATTTATATATAGTTTAATTCCTTTACATGTGAAATCTGCTTTACACTTGTTTATATCATAGTTGAACATTTAAAATCTCTGTCTTCCATCACTTACATTATCACATAGGACAATTATAATCCAATAATCCCACGTAGTGTGCCGGGACCCACAGTTATGGACCTCGAAGAGTGCCTAAAACTTTGTCTTCGAGGTAAGTGAGCCTTTACACGATCTTTGATAACACAGACTAGTTAAAACAGAGTTGTTTTCAAATAGGTGCCCTAACGCACCTTAAAATCATTAGGTGGCGACTCTTCTCTTTTAATACCTACTTAAAAGAGTTGTCACATGTCGAAACCCGCTTTCGTAAGAAAATGGGGCGCGACAGCTCCTTGATGCACGAGCCTAAACTGCATGTTGCTACACTCCTGACCCGCATGAGTTTAAGCTGTGTACGACCCACAAAAAAAGTTCGCTAGGTTGAAAACCTCGTGAGACGTTGCCTAGGCAAAAATAAAACTCATCTTTTTGAACTACGTTATGACTTGATCCTCTTCACTGAGGTACGTAGGCAACTTAGAGTTTTATTCTAAGTTCAGTCGCGTGAGTTTAGAAAAAAAGGGCATGGCATGATGTGAATATCAAAAATTAAAATTGAGATCATCACATTGGTGTCTTGAAATCAAAGGCGTATATTGTAGAAAGAAATAAGGCAAACTACATCAAACCGGGGAAGGCATTTCATTGATTCAATATTACAAAGGTCTGATACATCAATGTCAAAAAAAGAAGATGAAAATATTCACACATCATCTAAGTCATAAAAGCAATTGACGCGAAGAATTGCCCTATTTCATCAGAAGATGATGCTACCACAAAAGTTTTGCGTAGTTAAATCCAACGTGAATTGTGGCTCCATCATATGGCATAATTATGGAATTTGTAGTTTGAGTTCTGGAGGGTCGAGCAATGCATGATGTGGAACTTTGACGGATCCGGAAGGTGTTATTCCTCGAAATTTCTATATGCATGCGAATCTGAAGGTTCAGTGTGCTTAGGTCGACTTCGAGAATTTTTTGTCGATAGCCAGAAAGGAGTTCTGTCATGAAATTTCTATGTGTTGCAGGTCTCTGAGTCACTTTGTAACGGCGCAAATGGATTGCTATTCCGAAACTCCTTGCCCCAGATATGATTTTTGTTGCCGAAAGTATGTGAATCTGAAAGTTTACCCCAGTTAGGCCGACTTCGAGAATTTTATGTTGACAGCCCGAAAGGAGTTCTGCCACGAAATTGCTATGTGTTGCAGGTCTCTGAGTCTAATTTCTAACAGCACAAGCGGATCAAAATTCCGACACTCCTTGCTCAAGATACAATTTTTTTGCGCTGCAAGTACGTGAATCTGAAAGCTTACCACAGTTAGGCCGACTTCAAGAATTCTCTGTTGACAGTCCGAAAGAAGTTCTTCCAAAAAATTTATATGTGTTGCAGGTCTCTGAGTCTACTTTTTAAAGGCACAGACGGATTGTAATTCTGGCACCCTGAGCCCGAGTTATGATTTTTTTGGCCAAAAGTATGCAAACATGAAAAGGTTACTGCAGGTAGATCAAATTCGAGAATTTACTATGCTCAACCGGAAAAGAGTTCTGCGATGAAATTCATACACCTTGCATCACTCTGAGTTTTCTTTCTAACGGCGAAGACGGATTGCAATTCTGATACTCCTAGCCTCGGATATGAATTTTTTGGTGTAAGCGCGAAAAGCTGTAAAGAAGAGGTGTCAGACTTCGAAGTGAGCTTTAGAAATTAATTTTAACCAATTTGGATGGAATTTCGATCTAAAATTTTGACATGTTGAAGACCTTTGAGTTCTAATTATATAAGGTCAAGCGATTTGCGATTGAAGTGTTTCCAGCTCGGGATATGAATATTTTTTAACTAAAGCATGAAAATCTGGAAAGTTAGCACGTCTGATATCTTAGTCATTTTCAACAATTTATCGCAGCTGATCCAAAGGAAGTTTTTCTCTAACTTTCTGATACGTTGCAAAAGTTGAAGTCTAGTTTTTACAGAATTAAGTGGCTGGGGATTTGCATATTCCATTATTCCTACACTAAGATACAATTTATTTGTTAAAGGCATGCAAACCTGAAGGAACTAGTGCGTCGCAATTCATGGCTTGAACAACATTATCTGGTCAAATTGGACGGTGGTTCGATCGTGATTTTACATGTATCATAGCTACGAAGGTGTACTTTTTAGAAATATGGTGTCATGAGTTATAGTAGAACAATATTGCAAAACAAGCACAATAGCTTGAAAAAAGAGAGAAAAAAATCACAATCGAGTTGCAATATTTGACCCAAAAAGAAAAAAATATTAGTGTTATAAAAAAGAAATCTTCAAATGATAAAGAAACAACACTTTTATTTTTCAGATGGAATAAGCAACTCAGTACATCGATGCCTGAAGAATGCAAAAAAAAAAAAAAAAAAGAAAAAAAAAAAGCTAAACATCACTCTACTCAAGAAACAATTCAAGGGGTTGAAAACTACGAATCTGTTGACGACTTGTCTCAACTGCTTCTTTCAACTTGGATAAATTCTCTGCTTCGTCTTCAGACAACAGATGATCTTTCTCAAAGGCAAAAATCTAGCCTTCAGTAATGGTGATGGTCTCTTGATTCTTGGACAACTTCACTTGTTGTACGTTCATCTATGAGTGCAATGGTCTTCTTTCGTTTAGCAATCAATGCTTCTATCTCTTTTTCGACCTTTGCAAAAGTTGCTTGAAGATTTTCTATGTGACCATTTATCTTCTTGTTAAACTCTTGCGCATCATGGAGGCGCTGTTGTGCATCAGAAAGTAATTCTTTTGATGATTTTATAGTGCCATACTTTTCATATGCCTTGTGAAAGTCCTCAACAGAATCCTCCAAAGTAGAGATGTCAATGGCTTTTGTTTCTTTGATCTCCTTGAGAATTAACTTAATACATTTTTTCACCAACTGGCATATATAATGCACCCCACATCTTAGAAACGAAACACATCTTGAGATTAGAGATTGTCTCTTGTAGTTCGAAATTAGGAACATCGGGTGATGACAGACATGTTGAAGGTCCTGAAGCTTTAGGAAGGTTGACTTGAGCACGTGCGACTTCTTATGTGATTGCTATAACTTCTTGAGGAGGAAGAGAAGACACATCAAGACAACTTGGGATCGTGGTATCGTTATCGTCAAAAATGTCATCAAACATGTCAGAAGATGCGTCCTCGAAACTCAGCTTCCAACAAAAAAAAACGTTAGCATGATATAAAAAAATGAGTAATTAGAAATAAAACAAAATGAGAAATGAACTTTACTTGTTCTTCAAGTTCAGGCAATGGCATGGTGGAGCTAGGAACACCATCAAAAAATGTCTCGTTGTCAATAACGATGGTGTCTAAGTCGATAAACGCACCACTTTGATCTTCTAAATCTTTTACCTTCTTCTTCGATCACTTCCAATGACGGTCTTGATCAGCATCACCTTCTGTTGAATATTGGCTCCACTACTGATATTTGTGACTTCACCAACTAAGATGGGGGTTGAAGTTTTATCCTTGCAAAGTGCTTTTGTTGACGCTTGCCCATCATTGTTCTCAAATGAAGTAGGAGGATCCTTTCTTTTGCAAGTGTTGTCTGGCGTAGTAGTCATTTTCAAAGTCGATGGAAACGGTTTATCTCTTTTACCAGCTCGCACTAACATGCCCTTTGGAGTTGCAGACTTCGTCGATAACTTGCTGACTTGTGATGAATCTTTGAGGTTTGCCTTTGACTTTACAGAAGAAGACGACTTTTTTCGATCTTGCAGCTGAGAGTGATGAACTTTGGATGACACAGGGATATCACCACGCTTTGAGAATTTTAAAATGATTTTATTTTGTCCCCCAAAATTTGCTCGACCAGCTAACCACCAATCTACATATCTACGTGTCATTAAGGGCCTCTCGGGACGTGGTGGTATCATAACCGTAGAAGAACTACCAAGTCGGGTGCATGAATCCCAAAGTTGTACCAGTTCCTTTAAAGAGCCATCATATGGTCGTTCTACAAGATAGCCAGGAATGTCTTGATAGAAAACAAATTGCCGACTGAATCAATGACGGTTTTACGTCTCTATGAAATATTCACCATCATGCCTAGCCGTGACATAACTCGGACGGAGGCTAATGAAGTAATCACTCCAAGAACTGGAAAGTTGGCCTTTATCCACAATAGGCAAATCCTTGGGCTGTAGCAAGGCCAATTGGTGAAGATGGCGAGCATCCACATCTTGAAACAGTCGTCGCGCCCCAGGAAGATCAAAGTACTTAACCATTTTCTCTCCAGCGATTTTGCACATACGAACGCCACTATGATGACGCTTAGCCTGGTGGTGAGTGTCAAAATACTCGCTAATCCATCCATCGACATAATGTATGGGAAAGTTATATTGTTGGCGCCCAAATCTGAAGAAGTTGAGATTTCGCTCAAGCCTTAGTAAATGCTCGCTAAGACTGGAATGGCCAATGAAAACTGCTCTCCAGAAGCCATTAAGCTTGAAACCTTGAATACGCTTGGACGGATGTTGTCTAGCTTCTTAATTGGAAGGACGAACTTACAAAGCCAACATGCAAGGAAAGCAGCCAAGTTCGTCTCTTCTCTAAGAGACTCTTCCACGGCTAACTCAATAAAAGGAGCATTATCTTCGTCAGTTCGCTGCAAAAATAACTTGTCAATATAGCTATATGGATTGTGACCCGACCTTGGCTTGTTAGCTCGTTGTTAGACACTCGTTGCGGAGGCTCTTTGTATCTGTTCGGTCCTTTGAACCAAAAGCTCACCCAATCACGAACAGAGACCTCTTTAGAATCACCATCTGAAAGTCGATAAAATGCTAACAGCAAGTATGCACAAGTTTTAGGCAGAAATGGCTTCCCATGTTGATATGCTTGCATCAACTCTTGGGCTGAAGGGACAAGTTCGTCGTAGAAAATCCCATGTATAGGAAGGCCTCCAATCACGTGCGAATCCCACAGTGAAATGGAGATCTCGCCAATGCTAGTACAAGCTGAATTAGTCGACCGATGCCAAAGTTCGCAAAATGCCTGCAACACATTTTTATTGAAGTCATGTGTGAATAAAGAGGAGAGGATAGCGTTGTAAACCTTGATGCATTCCAGCATCACCTTGTTGCGCCGAAGGGTATCTTCCACCCATTCCCAATAGCAAGGTGTGTATTGAACCTCCCCAAAGCCAGAATGAGGACAACTCCAAGATGCAAGACCTTCATCAGAAGGTTTGGGGCTAGCAGACACAGTTGTATGATCATGAGTCGACGATTTCAACAGAAGAACCTTTGTGTTGGTAGCCTTGCTAAAGAAGTTTTCGAGGATATCGAATTCCTCCTTCGTTGACCATTCCGAAAGGTTAAGCAAAGAGTCAGGAGACTGCCTTATTAGCGGAAAAGCACGAATCATTGGGAAATTGGTTTTCAGTTGAAGAACTTTGGCGTATGGATCTTTTTTATTCTCTGCAATCTCAAGATATGGATATGGAATTTCGTGATCCTTGAAGTGCACCATGGTCGCTTGATATAAAAATCAAGTTGTAACTCTCCATAAATGCAAACAAAAAGAAAAGAAAGAATGGAAGAGTTAAAACAAAGAAAATGGCGCTGCCAAAAGAGACAATGCACAAACAAAATATAAAAAAAAAAATTGTCAAGGCACTTAAAGTTGTTAAAGGCAAATTACCCAAAATTCAGGATCATGTTCAAAGTATTATCTTTGCAAATCTAAAAAGCATTTGGGCCTGATTTTTATATCGGAAAAGGGCCTAAAGTGCCCCTGAAGTATCGGATTTGGTACAATAATGCCCTCCTTCCATCTTTTCGAATAAAAATGCACCTACCATTTAACTTTTGGCTCAGCCATGCCCCTATTGCTAACACCCTTTCATTTTAAAAAAAAACTTTTTTTAATCCACGTGTAATATTTTTATTGGCTGAACTTAAAGACCAGCCCAAATACACTAACCCACCCGTAACCCGCCCCCTTTGATTAGAAACTAATAACACTAGATCAACCGACGCTAATAACCAAAACAAACACTACTACCACTACTATCAAAACACTAATTTGCTCATTCCCTTCCCTTAATAGCCCATCCAACATCGACACAAATGACCAAAACAACAATTACTTAACATAAAAAAAGTAGAAATATGCAGAATGTTGAAATGCTTCATCAACATTTGCCACCAACTTCTCAATTCATCATCTTGACGGTGGCAAAAAATACAAAAGTAGCCCATGACCATCTCAATCGATTCACTTTTAATTCCAAATTGGAACCTTTCTCCTCCAAGGCAGATGTTTTGTTCAAATCTGCAGCTTTGCTACGAACCATATCAGCCACAGTCTGCTTTAACTTGTTCTTTTATTGATGAAGGGCATCCAATGAAATTTTTTGATTAAGAATAAACATTGACACATGAGGTAGAAATTGTTCATCGCGCCATTCCCAATAACGACAACCATTCTTCTCAGAACAACAACATAATCTACGACCGCCATTCATAGGTGTCGTAGTAGTAAAATGATTGGTAATTAATCTGCAATAACATGTACGGGAATCACCTTGGCCAAGAGAAGAAGCAGAAGAAGAGTAAGACATTTGAAACTAAAGGAAGAATAGTTATTAATGTAAATTTCAAAAGAAGATACAAAGTTGGGAGGTTGGGAGATGGAGAATTTGAAGAACCTTAATGAAAAGAGGAAGAAGAAGAAGTTGTTGTGTCTTTAAAAAATTGGGTTTTTGGGTTAAAACGAATTAAAGGAAAGCGGGTCGGTAATAGGGCGGGTTACGGGTGGGTTAGTGTATTAGGGCTAGCCTTTAAGTTCAGCCAATAAAAATATTACACGTGGATTAAAAAAAAGTTTAAAAAAAAATAAAAGGCTGTTAGAAATAGGGGCATGGCTGAGTCAAAAGTTAAACGGTAAGTGCATTTTTATTCGAAAAGGTGTAAGGAGGACATTATTGTACCAAATTCGATACTTCAGGGGCACTTTAGGCCCTTTTCCATTTTTATATTATTGCTCTAGAAGTCCTCTTTCCAAAGGCGCAAGAGGAATGAGGTTTCGACGTGTCTGCAAAGAAATATGATTTTTTTAGTCGGGGCGCACAAAGCTGTAAAAAGCAGAATGCCAGAAATCAAATACCGAGTTCAAACAAGTATCTGTACAAATATACTTAGAATCTGGATCTGATTTTTGTATATATTGTAGTCGCAGAAGTCCTCTTTCCAACGGTGTAAGCGGATTGTGGTTTGGACGTGTCTGCAGAAAGATATGATTTTTTTAGTCAGCGCGCAAAGCTGTAAAAAATAGAGCGGCCAAAATCCAGAGCTGAGTTCAGAAGATTACCCGCGTAAATTCACTAGGAATTTGAACCTGATTCTGGTGTAGATTGTAGTCTCGGGAGTCTACTTCACGACACCATAGGTGGATTGCAATTTCAATAAATCTACCAAAAGATATATTTTTTCTCGTGAAGACGCGCAAAGCTGAAGGATCAGCAACTGAATTCGAAGTCAAGTTTTGAAAATCACCTAAAAAATGGCAGCTACTTTTATATATGATGTAGCACCTGCAGCATAGTCCCGTTTCAAGAATTTGAGGTCGTACCTGGTGCTAGTGCTTGGAAAAGAAATTTATGCTCGCCAGAATGAAGCAAGGTGTTGCTGCGACGAATGATGTTACGCCTCCGACACTGCTATTAAAGATTCCATAGGCCTTGCATAAGTGATCAAGGCTATTAGTGTCTACTCGATGAAGGCAATGTTCAGTTTATTAGCTAACGACATGAAAATTAATGAAGTATATTGTGCAAGAACGGAGTCCAAATAACAAACATCTGGCGTGCATTATATTAACTATATGAGTTGGGCGTCTAATTGGTATTACAACTACTTGCTACCGGGGATATAGGAACTCCATCAAAGATTTTAGGTAGCAAAGGAACAAAATTGAACAATGATAATAAAGAAAGCCAAACAATTTCGTAGAGAGAATCACCTGTCAAATGCTACCATGCAAAGAGGGCTCAATGTGTATCTTAACAAGTTTGGATATATACTTATGCATCGTGATCTACTCTTTTATAAGTGTAGGAAAGCAGCAGGTAAACTCAAAAGAGGCGGGAATCGCATGATAGGGATAACTCCATCCGAATCAAATTGAGGATTTCAATGAAAAACATTTTGCGTAATAAAAAAATTAAAGTCTATCCTTGTTCTGATAAGGATGTGTTTTGTTTCATGATTAAGGGAGTAACGAGGTCTGGAATTACCGCAGGCTACCAACAATTCGGCTTTGCCTCGCTCCTACTCAATCTGGGCTCATATTAAAGCCCCAAAGCATAAGGATTTTATTTCAAGTAAGTTCTTTTGGAAATTCTAAGTCATCTCAAGGCCCAAGTTGACCATCATTACCAATACTTCAAACCTAATCGTCGACGTTCGACAAATCTACACAGCCAAGTCTTGAAGTAGGAGCATTTGTGACATGCGAATTTTTATGGACTAAAGTATGAGACAAATTCCTAAATTCAAGAAATGGTTAGCCTAAATCAAGTTTAATTATTTAAGTCCAACATGGATTTAAATTAAATCTGATTTTATTTGGGCTCGCTTATTTAATTGAACTTTAAAAGATGAGCCCCTTTTACTTGCCCGAAGTCCAAAATGGCTAAAATTACATCTTAACGCCCAAACAAATTCCACATGCCAAATTACATGGCGCCAAGTCAAAAGAAATGACCAATAAAATCTTGTCACGTATCAAGCGACATGGCATGACAAATCAAGTAAACTGGCCAATAAAAGCATGCCAAGTGTAACTAAATGAGATAGGTTCATAATTCAAATGGACCAATCAAATCATAGCAAAAGTTTTTGGCTTTATCACAACTCTCCTATTCTACCATTATAAATAGAGAGCTCCCACAAGGCTAAAAGCAGAACACAGAGAGAAAGACATCAAGCAAGTTGGAGAAAAGCTGGAGAAGCTCCAAGCAAGCATCTAAAGTCTTCTTCTACATTGGCGATCTTCATTCGTAAAGAAATTCAACAACGGAGTACAAGTCAAGAATCCAAGAGGCGGCTCCAAATATTCCCTTCGTGATAGCTAAATCTCAAATCATTGTTCGTGACGATCATCAAACTGTCAATGAAGGATCCCGTGCTTTCAAGAACAAGCCAAGAGCCCTTTAAGCGACATTTGTGAGGAGAAGAATCAGAGGACGTCATTGGCATATCTAGTGACATTCTGAAAATTGCAACCCAAGTCGACTCTTCATATTACATTTTATAATTTGTAACCTTTTTCTTATCTTGAATATTACATACTCGAAATTTGTTATTGCAATTATTATTATGGGTGTTTTTTATTTTGGATGATTTTCTTGAGCTTTTTGTGATAGTCGCACTGTATAGAATGAAGAGAATCATTTACAGTCATCAATCTGGTGGCAAATAGTTGTGAATCGCCAGAAATTTACAGGTAGAGATTTTACGTATTTTTCTTTTGGGTTTTTTCCATATGATGTATCTAGGGGTTGAAGTATCTCTGAATGAGAATTTCAGTTCAATGTGCGTAAGAATATCATCTGGTGGCTAATAGGTTTGAATGGCTAGAAATTTACAGGTAGAGAATTCATGTATTTTTCTTTTGATTTCTTTTTTTTTTTACATGTGATGTATTTAGTGAAGTATATATCTCTGATTGAGAATTTCAGTTTGTTGATTTGTAGTGAATATATGTTAAACTTTATCGAAATATTCAATGTGTGTGTAGGAATAGCATTTGAGTTGAGTAAAAATGGATTGTGTTGCAAGAATGAAGGAGGGTGTCACGTGAACAGAGATTTTTCAGAATGGAGATGCTGTGTTATATAATGAAGAACAAAAATATAACAAAAGGTAAAAAAAACTACTTATATAAGTAATCATAATAACTCTAGCAGTTCTTTGATAATACTTAGAAACAGGTACGTATAGATTCTGTGTCTATTCTAAAATCACAAGGTCACTAATCTGATCGAGAGAGATATATGGGTTTTGCTTTTGTGCATTTTAATTTTGAAGTATGATTTCTAAGCTTTACCTTTGCTAGCTATCTATTTCATAAAAAAGACCCAAAAAATTGTTCTTTCCTTTATTTTTGTGCCGGTGATTTTGCTTTATTTGAAGAAACTTTTTGTAAGAACGATTGAAAAAATATTTATTCTGTTGTGATTTATTTTAGAAGTTTTTATTTTTCCGGTAGAGTGTTATTATGGTATGGTACTTTTAAATTTTACTGTAAAGGTGATTTTGTTGCTTATGCATCATACATTGAAACTTGTATTTGTTTATTATGCTTGGACAGTCACGATCCAAAAATCTACTAGTCGTGATGGCACATAGCTCATCCTGTTAGGTAAGTCAAATAACATTAAACATAACTCAAATAAGAATAATAGGAGTAAATAAATAAAATAACTGAACTTCTATACATATTCCAAGGATTGGTAACACAAATCATGAGCTTCTAAGACTTAGAATTTACAAAGCTGGTACGAAATAAATACATCATCTGTTCGAAATATACATAAACAGATTGGTAAAATTAAAGTTACCGAGGACAAGTGGCAGCTATATCCGAAAAGCAGGTACATCTTCAATGCCAGCTCCCATCATACACAGCAACATTAACTCCGAGATCTGCACGCAAGGTGCAGAAGTGTAGTATGAGTACAACCGATCCCATATACTCAATAAATAACAAACCTAACCTCAGGTTGAAAGCAGTGACGAGCTCGGAAGACAGTTGAAGTCCAACATCAATATCCAATAACAACTTATAATAATATTATAAAGACAATAAAGGTAAATAACTTAAGAGATATATTTTCGATTCGTTCACGGTTAAGGGAAAGTAAGCATGCATCTCAAGTATAACAGTCAAGTCCAACTCTTACCATCAAAATCAACTAAACACGAGTTTAACAGAGAGCCGTATTTGTCAATTGACAAAACCAGATAAGTAATCTCGTTTACAAATTAGAATGAGGAAAGCACATATCTATTCCTACATGGAAAATATACATGTCCAGTCATCAATTATCATATACCGTCTAGGATGAGGAATATATATTTCTATGCCTATGTGTCAAATATACATGTCAAGTTATCAATTATCATGTACCGTCTAGCACGAAGAATGTACATCTCTATGCCTATATGTCAAATATATAAGTCAAATAATCAAATGTCATATTACCATCTAGCATGAGGAAAATGCATCTCTGTGCCTACATGACAAATATTGATGTCAACTCAATATCATTACAGTGAAACCATCAAGACTAACCACACTTAGCACCCTCACGGTGCCTGGCACAAGGCCCTAACCATCACACACATAAACACTTAGCACTGTATGGGTGCCTGGTATAAATTCCCTCATCAAAGCACGTATATAAAATACTATGCTTGCACCCATTGTTGGTATGTCAGACTCCGGAGGGGCGGATCCTGCCCAATCGCTAATCATAATCACATATCCCATCGTGGGGTCTGGTGCACGCGTAGCCTCAAAATCAATACAACTTAGCCCAATGTTGGACCTCGCATACGCACAACTTCAATATTAATATAACTGTTGCGGCGTGCAAACCGACACAACATAACCCACAAAATGAATCTACGGATCATATCAGTCATCAATTCGCTCAAGTCTCCATATGACAGCATATCACATAAACATAATCCAATCATATAACACGAAATACCTCAATGTTCCTCAAATACATCTCAAAGTCGTGTCACGTACAAAGACATAAATAACATGTGAGATAGCATATCAAGAATGCACAGAGGTAGATATATAACATGTGGATATAACAATCATGACTGAAACATTATGACTATGACTAAGACAAATAGCTCAACAAGGCAAAATAGCACTATCGGGTCTCAAAGAGTAAATCAGATAGCCTAGACATGATTTCTAGCATGAATAACAACTCATGTAGTCATACAAATGGAGAAAACATGATATCAAGAAGCATAATAGCAAAACAAAACATATAATAGCCTAAGAAATATCTGGATCATGAATACCCCGGTGCACGCATAAACGTCTGTCACCTAACACGTGTGTCATCTCAACTCATCTCAAATATCATAGTTCTCAAGGATAATTACCCTCAAATCCAAGTTTAGATATGTTACTTACCTCGAACAAGCAAAATTCAATACCGAGCAAGCCAAACAATACTCCAAAAATACCATCCACTGCGAATCAACCTACGAATGACTTAAAACTAGCCAAAAGCAACTTAAATACATCAAATAATGCCAAAGGGAACAAACCCAAACGATAAAGGTCGAATCTTTCATCAAATACTCAAAGTCAACTAAAACGTCAACCCGGGCTCGCACCTCGGAACCCGACAAAACTCATAATTTCCGATCACCCATTCAATTATGAGTCCAATTATACTAGTTTCACTCAATTCCGACTCCGAATCGATGTTAAAAATCCAATTATTCACTTTAGGAAAGATTAGACAAAAACTCTCAATTTCTCTTTTAAAACCATCAATCAAATGCCAAAATCAAAGATGTAATTATGGAATATAATCAAAACCGATTCGAAAATACTTATCCCAATACATGTGGTGAAAATTCTCTCCAAAATCGCCCAAAACCGAGCTCCAAATCTCACAATATAATAAAATGAACAAACCCTCGAATATATAATGCTCCACCCAGCATTTCCGCATGTGCGGTCCATTAGCCGCTTCTGCAGAAAACACTGAAGCTCCAACCTCTCGCACCTGTAGAAGAACCTTCGCTTCTGTGACGTCACAGGTGCGAGGAAAGCTCTGCATCTGCGAAACCAGCCCCGCAACCGACCTTCCGCATCTGCGCACTCGTAGATGCGGAAAACCCATCGCATCTGCGCACACTTCCAGCCTCCGCTCAAATCGCACATGCGGACCTTCTAGCGCTTTCGCTTTGCAGTTAATCTTCGCATTTGCAGTCTTTTCTCCTAGGCCACTACTTCCGCTTCTGTGCCTCCTGTGCTGCTTTTGCGACTCCGCACCTGCACCCGCAAGTGCGATCACACTAGAACTCCAAATCTTAGCAATGTCAACATGATTCGCAATGGTCCAAAATCAATCCGAAATACCCCCGGACCCCTCAGAACTCTATTCAAACATACCAACAAGTCCTAAAACACAACATGAACCTATTCGAGGCCTCAAATCACACATAACAACATCAAAACTACGAATAGCACCTCAAATCAAGCTTAATAAACTTTCAACTTCCAAAACACGTGCCGAACCATATCAAATTATCTTGGAATTACCTAAAATTTTGCACACAAGTTCCAAATTACATAACGAACCTATTCAAACTCCCGGAACCATATTCCTAACCCAATAATATTGAAATCAACTCCGGTCAAACCTATAAACTTTCCAAACCTTCCAATTGCCAACTT